TTCGGCAAGCTCTGCAAGTAGTTATGGTTTTGCATTGGGGATAAAGATGCATGTGGCTGCGCGACCAGACGGCATGCGCGCCGACCGCGCAGGAGACACGAATTGCAGCAAAGCAAGACCGAAGCTCACCCAGGTTTGGGGGTCGCATGAGGTCGTTGCCTGGAAAGATTTGAGCGGACGGCCTGGAGCGTGGATATCGCATGGCCAATTTGCCAGAACACCCGAAGAAGCTCGCTCATGTTTTGCACTCACTCGCCCATGCTCTGTCGGTGCACAAACGCTTCCTGCGATCGTCAGGGATTTGTCCTGGGAATCCGATCGATTTCGCCGATCGGATGCGTGGCTTCCAATTGGATCCACAAGGTGAACACTCCAAGAAGAGACCCAGTAGATACCTTGCCGTACCTTGGAAAAAAGCCATGCTTCACCCGTTTCCGGCACGCCCAAAGCCTGAAGCATTCGCGATACTCCAATGGAGTTCGGGCTCGCATGGTGCCCAGGGTGGCAACAAAACTCCAAGGCCAGTTTGAATCAAGGCACGTGCACCACGATGGCAAAACGACGATTACAGGCTATGGATGGAAAGCTGATCGTGCAATGGTGTATGCACACCCAAAGCCTGCCTAGCTCAATGCATGGCTATATAAGAATTTGGTTCAAGCGGAGTCCATTGCTGCGGCTCCGGGCCCATGAGCCGTTAAGGTGTCACGAATAGCGATCCCTACTTCGCTGGCGGTCGCAAAAAGAGCAGGCTGGTGCTCAAATGGAGAGCAACCAGGCGCTATGGCAACGATAGTTTCCGCAACTTTTTCCCAACCACCAGCCGAGAAAAGCTGGACCGCCCAAACTGCAAAAAAGCTTCGGTGTTTCAACCGTCGCGACAGAATGAGGAAGATTGCTGGCACACGCAAGTTTCTGGCCCCATTCATGTTCTGACACGTCTTAAAGTTATGGAAAAGCCGGTCTGGGTATGATTGAAGATTGAAGCTTCACGGAAAATTGTCGGAAGCCCCCTCAACATGAGCCAGCCGGCCTGATTCAATCAAACTGCTCTTCGAGCCGTTGTTACATCCTTCAACCCTCAAGGCCTCAATACTCCTGAATAAAACACCAAAGGAGGCAAAGGAGTGAGCATCAGTACCTGTAGTCGTGTGCATGTCTATAGTATATAGCACACGTATGTCGCATCTCGTCCTTTCTTTTCACTCTTGTACAGATCTTCAGTGCAGACTCGATTTTGTTGACATGACATTGCTGGTTTCGCTCAGCTGCCTGCAGACGGCCAGGATGCCCAAAATGCCAGACTTGAATACATATTCAGGAGGTTGAGGTGGAAAAGGTGCCATGTTGCAGAGTTTCTTGGCTTGTGGGCTTGAGGCTCACATGATGGGTCTTGCATTTATTGGCACCAGGACACGCACTGTAGATCTCTGAACCCGCTCTCTGTGCTCAATGCACACCAGCCACCAACACCGAGGGCGCAGCAGACTGTGGATCTTGCCCAGGTTCCAGCCATATATCGGCTGCAGCCATCTGCGCCTCTCCGGAAACATTGATTGCCAAGGATCAAGACCTACGGCGGCTTTTTCGGGAGCATCCGAAACTGAAAAAGCGACACGACATGCCGGTCCAAGCGGACTGCTAAGCCCAAATGAGCGCATCATTTGCACTCGGACCTGCTCTCCTCAGGGAGCGCCCCCTGTTTAGAACAGGATTCGAGAATGAAGTCTGGACCTTTGAGTATTGGCATTGCATTGGCTAGCAGCTGGCTGCAATGAAGAGAATGTTCTGATGGCTACAGATACATACTGCTACTAGGTGAAACGGTATTGAGCGCTGTCAGACATCCTCATTGAAACTCAAAGGACGAACTTTGCCGGGACATGTCGTCCTCACCTCGTATGGCATGCATGAGCCAGATGAACAAAGAATTAAAATGATTTCCAGCATGGTCAAGTCATACAGACATCCGCCGCAGTAGCTGTGCAGGCCGAAGTCCATGAATCTGTGCGCCAGCGAGGCAAGCACGCATGTTGAGAATGCGGCTAAAGCCTGTAGTAAGCCCTTCATAAGCTTGCATCACATCCCCAGACTCGGGGATTGCATCAAAGTTGCTGTCTGCTTCGGGCAGGGAAATGGCGGCCTCTGTGTGTGGTATGGACAAGCATAGCTACATTCATGATATGAAATGGCTGCGACGGAGGCCTGTGTCTGTGTGGTTGGCCGATGAGCACGCTTGACCGGGAAGCCACCTTCCAGAGCTGTCAGCCAAGACTTCACCTTCAGGGTAGGAATGTGGGCCCTTCATGGTACCTCTAAGCAACATCACACGAGGATCAACCTGCAAGGAAAGCCGTGTTATACCAGCTCGGCTGACTGGCAGAAAGACTGTCAATCTGCAAGGCCCCCTTGCTATGATGCTGATGTCTTGCAACCTTGTTAGCGCGCCTCAGCCTGCGACGTGTGTCGGATGTAGAGATCGAACTCACCAAGGTGCCTTGTTGCAGCAAATTCTCTGCACCCTTTCAGAAGTGAACTCTTGGCACATTGAACCGAAGGCAGGACCGTGTTCAGACTTTAAAATGTCCCTTCTGGGGCATCGGTTGAAGGCTTACAAGACGTGCTGAATGAAGTCATGGCCACTCGGTTGCCAGAGGCCATGCGCACAGCCGCTCCAACAGAGTGACGAGGATCTCGCGAAGATCAACGACAGTCCGCGTGCCTCCGGGCTAGCGGCTAGGGTGCTACTTTGACACAGGTTTCAGGCCAAAGCACAAGGACGGAGCAAGTTCAACAAAAACAAATTGCGGCTCCTGCTTGCCTACGACGTGGTAGAGACGCAGCCATCTTTAAGAAACAAGGCATCCCCGGGCTGCCGAGAGCCCAGCGCGCTGAACGATAGCAAGCGCACCGGCGCACCGGCGCGATAGCAAGCGCCAGGCCAAGCTCAGTGGAGACCGCCGTGACAAGCCAGAGGGAGCCGACAGAAAGATAGAGACTGAAACCCTTGTGGCATTGCATGGGATAGTGATTATGCTGACCTGCCCACAAATTTCGCGATGGTCGCAGAGAAGTCGCAACCTGAAATATGCCTGTTGCACCATGCTCCTTGTGGCAACTTTTGATGAAGAACGTCACTGGGTCTCATCTTTGTCATCTTAATGAGTGACTACTATTCGCTCGCACGCTCCCACCATCTCCCACCAGTGTGAAGCCTAATCATAGAAAGGTTCGATGGCAAGTCGGCTTGACTATCTGAGACTTGCCCTGCAGACAGTGACAGCAGAAAGCAAAGTCCCTAAAGATGAACTGTACGTGAGCACGTTACTTGCAGTTACTGGAGAACTGCAAATCAAACCTCATTGGGTTCAAGGTGGTTCAACAACTTACCTGGCTTTTCGCCTCCTTCTAACAAAGAGTCCTTCCTGTAGAGATGTTATCTCAATGGCAGCGCGAGCCTGCAGGCTCATTGCGCGTGTGTGGCAGCACTCGCCTCGATGACTCGAAGCGGTACGGTCTCGGACAGTCTCAAGGAGAAATGAAGATGTGTAGTTGTGTAGTCTTACATGTGCAGTCAGGTGCTGCTGAGAGGCAGTGCTATGAACACAGCGATGGCAGAGTGCCACTCACAATCCTGACAACACGTCTTGAACTAATGTAGCATCGCACAACTTTGCAGGCAAGCTGGAACAAACTATGCAGGAACATTGCTTAGAGTGTGTTGCGATACTCGTCCTGAGGTCTTAGAAACACTTGTAGAAACCTTGCGAAGATGCTAAGACACATCACCGGAAAGAGAGCTACGACCAATCACGAGAGAATCAACTCCACCGGCGAACACAGCAAAATGCGCGGACCGCATTGGAAGAAGGGTGAAAGAGAAGGGTGAAAGAAAAGTATTGCTCAATTGCTGAAGCCCGCCCTCCTTGAAAGGCAGCCATACCTTAGCACCAGAAAGGCTTAAGCGGCAACACTGCAAAATACTCTGTGAAGGCAAATGGGCTGGCCAAGGCCGAGTGATCAGGTGGCAGTTGCCAACGGTTTCCAGCATCTCTGCAGTGCCTGACTCTTAAACAGGCAACACATGGGAAAGAGATGAAAGGGTCTTTCATGGGCCTTGAAGATGCTGTCTGCACCAAGATAGCCACTGAAACATGATCTCTTCGCTGGAAGCCGTGATGTCGAACTGGAGATAATGAAAATAGCCTTTGACATGCAGCAGCTCTCCGCAAATGACGGAATCTCTTCTCGGATAAGACAGGATTCCTACGGCATGCAGAAACACAAGGGGAACAGGAAATCGGCAACGGCAACGAGAGAACACAGCGCCATGAAGCCATGCAGCCAACAGTTGCACGGTAAGCATGTGGACGAATGTGGACAAAATGCCGAAGAATGACGCAGCAAGACATGATGGGGGGCATTATGTCACGGCGTTGCAAGCATAACTCAAAGACCAATAAATCCAAACACGCGCACAGAAAGAAATGGAACTTATCAGGACAGAGAAATGCACGCAGGATGATAAGGTACAGCCTGCAGCCGAACATGGCAGCCAAGGTCAGATGTGGAACTTCAAGTAGGACCTTAGCCTTAGGCAGTAGAACACTGTGAAGCGTCTGGGGGGCGGCTCGAATGAATCCGGGAGGGCGTGAATCTGGAGCTGGGCTCGGCTTGGGAGCGTGCTTCTCCTCGTAGCAATAGCACGACTGATGCGGTTGGTAATGGAAATCAGTTGCCCTGTTGCGCTTTTACAAGGATGTGCTGCAGTATGTCGTGATTCTATCCGTTTTGCGACAACACATCGTACTCATACCATTGACAAAAGTTTATCACAGATGAAGCAGAAGAGTCGTGTAACACAGCAAGCAAAACTACCCACCACCTGGTGAGGGAGTGGAAACCTACATAACGCGAGATGGACTTGGATGCAAGACCAGGTGAAAGACAAAACAGTTACATAAACTATAATTCAGATGAACGCTACAGCAGACCTGCTCTGAGCGCTCGAACCCTCTCAGGCCAGCGTCGGCGGGTTAATGAGTCATTTACAGAGCGGCACTAGTTGCTAGGACCCTATGTTACCTATCCTATATGAAGTATATCAACCTGAACTTCAAGGTGAGACATCGTAATGTGTCCTGGAGATCAGTACGGGCGATGAGTCTTGGGAGCACGAAAGTCTAGGACGCACACGCGCCAATGTAGATTGCGAACCTCACGAGGACCCCTTCACTTCAAGCTCTCCTCCGCAAACCTTTGCACCGTTGGTACAGGCATACACCAGTACACACCCGGACAATCTCAGGCACGCAGCGCTCGAAGAACTTCGAGACAGAAAAGATTTGTTTCCAATCCGCTTGGCTGTGCTGAATTTTTGCAAAAATCCTGCCAGGATCTGCGACAATAGCTTTACTTGACTTTCGTTGTCATGTTGGCAGAGTGCAACGGCCCGCAACATTATGAACCTGCCATGCGATCTTGGCTAATCGGCATGCCGAGCCCGGCTCCTGTTCCCTCTCCGAAACTCCTGCGCAGACTCTTCAACTGTTGCATTCAAACACTCCTATCGGGCAATTGCCACTACGGCCAAATGAAGTAATTGAGTAATTGCTTCGGGAAGATGCAATGTCCCAAGACTAGCGCAAGCTGTGAGCATGCGGACAGGTTGGTGCCAGACTAGACTCTGGACAGTATGGTGACAATGAAGCATTCCCGCTCTGTGCTTGCAAACAAGGTTGGCAGACATTCGCCAATACCCATGGAAGAAGTGAGCTCGGTCCTTCTGCAGCTGCAGAGCAGCAGAGGCAGTCAAGTTCGGGTTGGCGCATAATTTTCTGCCAACAGGAAGCAGGACCTCTCAGGCCCCCAGCGCGTGGTGCAAACATCGTGCACGCGAGGCTCGACTTGATACACTTCTACTGTTTCTTTGGCTCTTCCACAGAGCCCTGTAGCGTTTTCACTTGAATCCTAAACACCATTCACCAGTGTTGCGAACGACAAAACACAGCCGTACATGCCCTGTCTTGCCGAACAGTATTGGTAGTTCCGTGGCCCACGACTCTCACCGCTAGCACAACATAGCGAAATTCAACTGCAATTCATGTCTGTCGCTGAATTCTGAAACTGCCCTCTGAGTTCCAGATCGCTCCTGACATCAGATGTGTGACCAAACCGAAAATAAGCACCCTCAAATGCCACGGACATACCCGGCAGTAAAGCAGACGCTCTGATCTCTGGAAGTTCATTAGCAAGGACAAAACTACGGGGGAGGACAAGCAGCCCTGTGTCGTCTCTATCACGCAGTGGACTTGCTGTGAGAACACAGGCAAGACATAATTGTACCGCACCAAGACGTTATGCATCCTCATGCACACATGTATCTGAAGAGCGCGCGCACCTTCAGCCCTGCGCTGTTGCGTTGGACCTGCTGTCGCACTTCTCTCAAGTCTGCAGTGTACAAAAGCGCCACGGACGAGGTGAGAGAGAAGCCTGTCGATGTGCCCGGCCATTCAGGGCAACAGGAACTCGACAGTCCCATCCTCGGCTCTGGACTTCCAGATCCCGAACGCGGAAGCATTAGCAGAAGTCGTGCGACCCGGTCTGTTCCGAGATGCTGCTCATAATGTCGAAGAAAGCTCCAAGAAGTTGCTCAAGATCTTGGTGCCTGGGGCAGACTTGGGCAAACTGCGTTGTCCGGTTATAAGCTGAACTCTTGCCAAATTGCTGTTCAATTTGGCAGACCAGAGCGCAGCAGATCGCCCAGCCCGCTCCGCCTAGATAACCGAAGTCATGCCTCCGGGACAGAAAGCTCATCACGAGAATCGCTGTAGGTGATGACTCATACTACTTACGTTGGGACATGACAGTGCGAAGCATTTTCCGAGCGACGACTGCCCATAGACTCCACGCTGCTTTGCCCAGAAGCGAACACACCTGCATCAGTGAGCAGCCCTGCTTCAATGAGAAGAACTGACACATGCAGCGAAGCGCTGCTCGCACATCATCACAACGTGCAGCTGTGCAGATCTAGGCACGTCAGCAACTGTTGAAAAGCTCTCTTGTCGGGGACCTGAGCTGCAAAGCTGAGATCCGGCCGTTGAAGATTCTGCAACAGGTACCCACAAATTTGATCAGTGCAGAGAAGATGCTGACTCCAAGATGGCAAGCGCGGTTTGTCTGGCGACATAACCGGACCTCGGAAACATGTTCTTTGCCGCAAGCAGGCCTCGTACGGTGCAGGATGGCTAGTATTGCAATGTGAAGCCTCTATGAGCCCTAAGGCACCCCACCGGCATTCCACACAATGGTGACACGTGAATCGCCGAAAGGCACCCCAGACCGGCAAAAGGCAACCCATGCAAAGTCATCCCCGAGGTGGCGTCTTCGACATTTTGAAACATGCGCTCAGACAGTGAGATGCAAGCGTCGCACAAAGCATCGCTGCAAAAATCTCTCTGTTGAAGCATCAAACATGTCCGAATTCCCAAGTAGACGCCCTTCACAGCCCACACTATTCACCCCAAAACCATCATACCAAACCAAATACCGAATGCTCCTCTGGGCAGAAAAGATGTCACAGCCGCCCAACCAGTGTACCGAAAACTCCGCAACTAGAATCCTCGATTGTACCAAGACGACAAGATCACACACGTACGAAAGTACTGTGTTCACCCAGGTGACGCCCCTCCGGGGACGCCTTTCGCATACCCCGGAGGCCTTGTTTCATACACCTAGTAGCACTATCTCACCTCCCCAGCTTTGCCGTGTCAATTGGACGATAAGACTATGTCTTCCAGCTCCATTGTAGCCCTGACACCTAATCGCGACATTTTCGACTGGTGTGTTTGCCAAAAGCCACGCGCCTTGAACCTAACCAATACGCCCTGTGCATTGTTTTTCGGGCTGGCTGCGAGAGGGCGTGCGTTCTCGGAACTCAATGCCCAGGTGAGTGTCTCCCAGCGACATGTGCGCAACCTGTACATTAACATGGTCTTCTCCTGAAGTCCCAGTGTATTTTCTCGTTCGCCCGATTGCGTGCCAATCATTGATTATATGTTAGCTTCCCTTTGATTTGAAAACGTGACCGCATGATTGCATGCATGCTTGCATGTAGGCATGCGTGCACACAATGTGTGAATTCGGGTGAAGGTAAGTAGGTATGCATGCATGGATGTGCGTGTGTGTGCGCGTGGGTATGTATGTATGTATGTATGTATGTAAGTAAATAAGTAAGTAACTAAATAAGTAAGTAAGTAAGTAAGTAAGTACGTAAGTAAGTAAGTAAGTAAGTAAGTAAGTAAGTAAGTACGTATGTATGTATGTATGTATGTATGATGTACGTATGTATGTGAGAAGGATGTATGTATGTATGATACTGTATGTATGTATGTATGTATGTATGTAGGTATGTGTGTATGTATGTATGTATGTATTTATGTATGTATGTCATGTATGTATGCTGGGTGCGTGCCTGCGTGCATGTATGCATGCCTGGACGTATATGTAGTATGTAGACGTGTCGCCGTGGGCCCTTCCGCATGGCGCGCAGGCCCACCTAAGGGCCAGCCCACACCTCTCAACAGCACAAAAAACCAAAGGGATGGCATGAGATGGCACATGATGGCACTCGTTCGCCATGGTCTGAAAAACATCCTGTGTGAACTGCTACAAGCTTCAGGTCGGGTGGCGGATCAAACAAATAAATTTGGATCAAAAAACTACGCCAGATGGATAAAAAAATTGAAAACAGTTAAACAGTACCAAAAAAAAGAGTATCTGCGCAATAGGGCTAATGAAAGACATAAGGGTTACGGATGAAAAAATTGAGCATTGCAAAACCCTGTAAGACAACATCCCTACACCCTAGACCCTGTATGACCCTGTACAGCCCGGAGAACCAAACTCTAATTCTTCAGGCCCCATTAGTTGCTGCACTCATTGCCCACTTCTAGCTCAGTCGTCTGGCCAGGGGCCACAAAAAATTCCCAAAGCCCTAAACCCTAGACATTCGACTCCTAAACTCTTTTGAGCCGTAAACTTGTGAACTTTTTGCAGCCTTGAAAGCAGGTTGAACCCAGACCCACTAAAAAGCTAAAAAGCGACCCGAAGCAATGGTAACTACTGGGTGATCGGCGCGAAAAAGCCCCAAATCCTATACCCCCAACTCTAAGCCCAAAATCTGAGACCCCAAACGGTTTAGGGTTTGGGGTTTAGGATTTAGGATTTAGGGTTTGGGGTTTAGGATTTAGGGTTTAGGGTCCCTGTAGGAGCCCTTGTTGAAACCCCCCCAAACTTTTCCTAATCAGGACCTCTGTGGAATTTCATCTTTCGGCCATCCACCGACACAACTCAAAAACCATGGTTTAGGCTTAGGGGTTTCGGGTTAAAGGTTTGGGGTTCAGGCATAGACCTCAAACAGTGCGAACTTCTGCAAATGCTCGCGAAGCTGCTTCAAAAGCCGGCTCTTGGCCACTGAAAATCTGTTGGGCAACGGCTTCAGCGCAGAGCGTTTTCGCCCGCCCCTGCGCTTCGGGCCGTTGAGCACTTGGCCGGCCTGCTTGCGCTTGCGTTGGCGAGTGCCAGCTTGACACGTGCCAACAGCCGCCATTATTGCTGCGACGGTCGCGCGCGGGTTTTTGATGCGTTTTTTCCATACTCCCACCCCAGGTCTTCGAAAAATCGTGCCTTGATTCAGGCTTACTGGAGCCCTTGGCCGCCTAGCACATGCAGTAGGCAAGCCACTGCCACACACCAATTAGAATGCTTGTCTGACACGCCCAAAGTTGCGAATATTCGCTGATGGTTTGGCCTTGTTCTGCTCCTCCTTCCTCCTTCCACGGCCCTGGATCTCAAGGCATTGTTCTTTGCTGACCTCAATCACAGATCAACGGAAAATGAAGAGATCTATCTGCATTCCCAACCCAAAACCTACCAAGACCAAGCCGAACCCCAGTGAAACATGTGCGGTGGACCTTCGTGGACGCCGTCAAATCGATTAGATTGCGCACGGTCCCATCTGCGCCCATCAGACGCGCATCGGCAGCTTCTATGAGCGATTGGCCACTGGTGAACAGTATAAAGGGGTGGCAGCTGCATTGCCGCATGCTGAAACATTCCGCGCCACCCAACACTGCCTGTGGATTCTTCTTGTGCTGGAAGCTGCCCGGCCAAGTCTTAATAAGCCATGTTGCGGCGTTGGCGTCCTACCATGAACCATGGCATGCACCATCAAAGAAATCCACAAGCGATGTTTGCACGCATGCGACATGCTAAACGAATAGTCCGATGAATATTGTTTTGCCCACAATGTGTCCTGCTTCCAGCGCTTGTCGCCTTTGCCGGCCCGCCCTTTTGCTTGTGGCCGCAAGTTGCACCAAGCCTCCAACCGAACCAACACATTGTCAAACCACAGAGCGAATGTCGTGATCACGAAATAAACCGCGCATCCATACATCTGTTCATCCATCCACCCCAAGTACTGGCGGTAGTCAGGAGCACTGCCAAAATCGGTTCCCCCCTGTATGGTGACCAAACGTGACTAAACCGGTTCTCCGCAGGATGGGTTGGAAGCTGGAAGCTTCACGAACACAAGGCTGTACAAACGCACAGATGGATCTGACTCAGTGCATTTCGGCAACGCTGCTTCAAGTCAGATATCCAGAACTGTTTGAAGTCGCAAACCACGCGGCCCCCACTTCCGACTCCGAGCCAAACTAAACGAACTCCGAAACTGGCCGACCACTGATCCGAAACCGGCCGAGGCCTGATCCGAAACTTGCCGGGTCCTGATCCGAAACTCAGCCCCGAGACTCAACACCGAAACAAACCTCCAGAACCCTGGACAAAAATAACTTCCCTCGTCAGGCACCTCAGCGCCATCGGAATGTTACACCCTGGTTCAGCGGGAGTGTTGTGAATTCGGAGACGAATCGTCATGCAACCTCACGACAACCAAAGAAACAACCTCACGTCGACGTCATCACATCTATCCAAACCATCTCCATGGCACACTCTTTGCCACTCTGAAGCACCAATGTGAAGCCCAGCCTACTCAGCCGCAACACAGGCACGCCACGTCGCAAGAGTTGCGCGCAGAAATCGTAGTCCTGCATTCTAGATGTGTTGACATGGCCGTCATCTCACGACACGTGGCTTTGGGGGGGCACTCGACCAGAAGATCTTGACGTGTGGACGGCTACAGGCAAGGTTGCATAGGGGCCGCCGCCGCTTCATACTTAGTACTCCAAGTCAATCCTGTTTGGGGCAAGCTTCGCTGCGACAGTGGACGGGCGCTGTCCGGCAAAGTGGATGGGAGAACCTGAGTGGCTCTCTACGAGATGTTTGCACGAAGCCGTCTTATGCCGTCTTGACATGCGTGCTCCGTGCCGAGAGCCCAACCATCCAGACATCGCCCGCAACGAAGTTGGTGAACGACATGAGCGGCATTTGATACCGGAAGACTGCATTCGGGCAGACATAAGGCCCCCCGAAGCAACAACATCCGGTCTGCAACAGAGCCTCGCGCCAATGATTGATTTGCAAAACTATCTTATGTGACGTCTGGAAACAGGAACAGCCCAAACGCAGGGACTACAGGGTCCCTCAATGTCCCTCACCTTGTGCAGGACCTTCGCAAACTTGTCCGGCAGAAGTGGCCGACCATGACCGCTCCACGTCGAGGGAGCCGTCGCAAGCTGAGAAACCGGAAACATCGTCTGGAATGGCGATTACCGGTCTTCCCGTCCTGAACCAATCCACAGGCGTCCTCAAAGCCCCGCGGATATGATAAAACTCAGTCCTGCAGGCGAGGCGGAGTGCGGCGTTTTGCGCATTGTGGACTGATCCGCATTGAAGGATCTGACTCACCTTGGGCAGCTAGGAACCACGCTTTTTGAGCTCTCTCCTCCACTTAATCAAACCATTTCCTGCAAACGTTGCAATTGCAATTTTAATTTTGACCAACCTTCTTCGAAACGGCTCCCTCATGTGAACGTCAATGCTGTCTGCCCGGCCTGACCAGCACATAAGCGCCTGCCTCCACGCCCTTGCTGGCATAATCTTTGGCGTCGTTGTCCGCAACGTGCCAACGCACTTTCCGGAACAACTGGACGCCCAGCACCTGCATTGGAGCTCAAGAATACCGTTGTAGCACCATGCGACGTGGGGTGAGGCATCAAAAAAACTAAATAGACATC